GTGTTGTATGCGATGCAATCCACCTTCCGATCAACATTGTCGTCAAGTGCTCCACAGCGTCCGCTGCCTCGCTACGGAACAGGTACAGTAGCGGACGTGACTGTGAAATGGTTCGGATTAGTAGGTGCGTGTGCCGGCAAGTTGTTATGGTCATTTTGGCTGCATTTCATGTTATAGTACATGGTGCTTACGAGGCGATGGAGGCGTTGTGGGACATGGACACGCTGCACGAAGCTCCGATGTATTCCCTCGACATGGAAGCCATGTCCAGCATGTTTCAGTGCCCTGCCTTGATAGAAGCATCTGGCGTAATTGTGAGGGGGCCTCCTAGATGGTGGAGGGTGAGGCGTGCACCGGGGCTGTGGCGGGACCTCGAAATTACGGATGATGCAGAAAATGATTATTACAGTACTCTACTGCCTATGAAACGGTCAACTTTTAACCATATTCTGCACATCGTCCGCCACGAGCTAGAGAAGCAGGTGACTCGCTTCCAGCTCCCACTTCCGCCTGCTCAGGTTTTGGCTTATGCCATCCATCGATGGGCACATGGTGATAGTCACAAGCATAGTTCCGCTGCTTACGGAATGGGGAAGACGAGTGCCCTGCGAGCCGTTCGGGACGTGGCGACTGCCATCATCAAGTGTTTCCCTCATGAAATGAGTTTCGAAAATGCTACAGAAAGGAACAGGACAATGAAGGCATACGAAGCACGGGGATTTCCAAATTGTCTTGGTTGTATTGACTGTACACATATTTATGTTGATAAGCCAAATAACAGAAATGACGATGACTATTGCTCGGGACATACTACGCGATTCTCTCAAGTTGCACAGATGGTGTTCGACAGCGATTTGCGGATATTAGATCTATATTTCGGCTTCCCAGGCAGGGCCCACGACTCCCGTGTTCTTCTGAACTCATCGTTGTATGAACGAGCGATGCATGACAATCTTTTAGTGGAGGACGATGCAGATCTATTCAGGCACGAGCGTATATGTCTCACTGAATTGCAGGGTCGGTATCTGTTGGCTGACGTTGGGTATCCGACCCTCCCGTGGATCGTCAGGCCATATGGGAAGCCTGAAACCGCGACACCTGAGTCAATCCGTTTCGACAGTATACACAAGGTGGTTCGGTCTGATGTGCAACGTGGAATCGGCGTCTTCAAACAAAGGTTCCATATGTTTTATCATCCCCATGTCAGCAATCAACAGACGATTGGAGATGAGCTCCACGCTGCCTGCATCATCCACAATCTTCTCATAAAATAGGGTGATGTACAAGAAGGAGAAAATGTGCGCATGTGTGAAGATATTCTGAGCAGGGTGAACATGCGTGTTCCTTGACAGCACATTCCATTGACCGCTGTATCACAGCGGGCCGCTGGCAAGGCCGTGCGTGACGCATTGCGCATTCATGTCGTTGCATGGCACAATCGACGGATTCGGGCGATGGCATTGCACAGGGCTGGTAGACATAGAAATATTATCCGTTGAGTACCACGGTGTGTATGTGTGTGTGTGTGTGTGTTTGTGTGTGTGTGTGTGTGTGTGTGT